AGGGGGCGAGGCAGTACCAGAAGGAAAGAGAAGATTATTATTTTAAAACGGACATTGAGGGACTGTCCCTCTGACAAGCTGGCATTTGAACATGGCCCTAAAGAGTCAGGGAGCAAGGAATGCAAATAATTGGTAGAAGAATGGTCCAGGTAGAGGAAATGCAACTGCAAAACTGAGAGAGGAGAACATCTGTATTGTGTTCAAGGATCATGAAAGAGACCAAGTCTATCTGCAGCCCACTCACAGAATCTCTAGAAAACTCCAGGACTCTCCCTGTCTTGACCCTGGTGCTTCTAATATTTTAAGTATGATGCCAATGTTTGTGGAAGATTTCTGCAAATCTTTATCAAGTTTTAGAAGAGTCATTTTATCCTAATTTGTTACAAGCTTTTACCATCAACTGTTAAATTTGGTCAAATATATTATAGCATCTGTTGAGATAATCATATTTGTTTCTCTTTTATTCTGTAACACAGTGAATTATATTGAAAGATTTTTTTAGAACTGAACCATCCCAACATTTTTAGAAAAACCTTACTTGGTTGTGGTGTCGGATGAGGTTTAGGATAAATTGCGGGATTAACTTACTAATATTTCATTTAGTACTTTAACATCTGTATTTATAAAGTGAATTGGGTCCATAGTTTCTCAGGGGCTTCTTATTTGGCATCAGTATCTGAACTGGGTATCTTTTTATCTTTTTCTAAACTAATGGTATAATTTTTATAAAGTAAGAATTAGCTGGTGCTTAAAGTTTCATAAAGCTTAATCGGGTTTGTAGCTTTGGAACGTGTTAAACATTTTAAAATGTTTACACTCATCTTCCTTAATTATTCCAGTTTTTTTCTCTCCTTCTATATGAGATGAATATGTTCATTTTTATTTTTCTACAAAGTTCATATGGGTTTTCAAATGTACTGGCTTAAACAAAAAAAGTTATGACAACCCCCTTTATAGCTGCTTCCCTTCCTTTTTACCCTCTCTCCCTCCTTTCCTTCTCTCTTTATTATTATTATTCTTATATACTATTTTCTTGCTTGTATTTCCCAAGTTGTCTCTATTTTTTCATTTTAAATTAATAACATTCATTGTTTTTTCTTTTCTTTTTAAATAGTTTTACTGAGACACAATTCACACACCATACAATTTACCTATTAATTTAATGTGTACAATTAAATGGTTTTTAACATATTCACAGAGGTGTGCAACCATCATCACAGTCAATGTAAAAACATGTTCATCATCTCCAAAAGATACCACATACCTATTAGCAGTCATTCCCCAATTCCTCCTACCCCTTACCCAGCCCAAATCATCCACTAATTTACTTTCTGTTCCTATGGATTTGCCTATTTCAGACATTCATATAAATGTAATCATATAGTCTGCAGGCTAATGTTTATGGTTTCTTTCACTTAGCATGTTTTCATTCATATTATAGTAGGTATCAGTACTGCTTTCATCTTTATGATTGAGTAACACTCTGTTGTATGAATATACTACATTTTGTGGATCCATTTATCAGTTGATAAACATTTGGATTGCCTCTACCTTTGCCTATTATGAATAATGCTCTTATAAACATGCCTATGCAAATTTTTGTGTGGATGTATGTTTTCATTTCTCTTGAGTATATACCTAGGATTGCTGGGTCATGTGCTAACTCTATGTTTAATCATTTGAGGAACCGGCTATTTTCCGAAGCAGCTACACCATTTCACATTCCTGCCAGCAATGTACGAAGGCTCTAATTTCTTTACATCCTCACTTATTGTCTACCTTTTTTTATTCTAGCCATCCTAGTAGTAGAGTAAAAGTGAAGTAGTGTCTCACTGTGCTTTTGGTTTGCATTTCCCTGGTGGCTAATGAGGTTACACATTTTTTCATGTATGTATTGATCATCTGTTTGTCTTCTTTGGAGCAATGTCTACTCAGATCTTTTACCCATTTTTAAATTGGGTTATGTGTCTTTTTATTACTGAGTTGTAGGAGTTCTTAATATGTTCTCATTACAAGTCCCTTATCAGATATGACTTATAAAATTTTTCTCGAATTCAGTGGGTTGTCCTTGCACTTTCTTGGTGCTGTGCTTTGAAGCATATAAGTTCTTAGTTTTGATGATTTCCAATTTATTTTTTATTTTGTTGCTCATGTTTGACTGCTTTTTTAAAATTTTTATTTCTAGTTTAGTTTTCCTAAACCATTTCTTTTCTTTTTGTTTTTTAGTATACTTTACTTTTCAAAATTATTTAATGAGTTGAAAGTTCAGAACACCACAAAGATTGAAAGTACAATGATAAACATTACAAAAATTCTTCTGAATATTGCTTTGGATACCTAATACTGCTTTTGATAAATAGTGGCTTTTGATAAATGTTATATTTTCAATTCTAAAAATTAGATTATTCTATTTCTATTTTTCCACTAACCTAAGAATTACGTAGAATTAAAAAAACATATTCCAAAATATGTGCTTCATTATTTGGATTACATTATTATTTATTTTCAAATGTATTATACTATATTTGATATTGTTTGAAATTAGCTAAAATTGTTTCAAATAAGCTACAACGAAGTTGTCTGAAATTACCTAAAATTTCTGTTATAAAATAGTATATAACACATGGATTAATTTTCATCAGTGTTCCATGTAAAAAAAGAGATACACTATCGAAGTTCAGTCAAATTTCTGGCACTAGAACTATGCTATATAATATAGTAGCCACTAACCACTCAAGGCTATTTAAATTATCTTTTAATTACTTAAAATTAAATAAAATTAAAATCTGTACTTCCAGCCAAGATACAGTAACAGGAACCAGAGTTATCTTCTTCCTAGAATAACAATGACAGCAACAACAGAAAAAATCATTCAAAATATATGAAATAACACTTTGCAAGACACAGGCAATGAAGGACATGATCCCAAGAGATGGACAGCAATTGAGCTGAGATCTACAATTGCCTACCTTACCACATTAAGAGAGTTTCTAGGTTATAGTCCAGAGAGGAGTAATCCAGACTGAGCCTGGCATACTGTCTGTATTGAGGGGATGGATCTGAGCATCCAGCGATGCCAAGGTGGTTTGAGTCCCCAGGACAGGATAACAGAGAAAAGAGAGCTGCACAGAAAGAGAATTCTAAAGATCTGCAGAGGGTTCCCCTAGGGTATTCAGCTCAATACCGATCAACACATGCATGTGAGGAAACTAGCTAAGCCTGGGAAAAGAACTACCTGAGAATATTGGAGGAAACAGAGTCCAGTACTCATACACGGCCAGCAAGAGTGGGAGATCCCACCAGCCAGGCTAGAAAAACTTCAAGCATCAGAGAGCGATGCACAGAAGACAAGAAAGTGTCTTGTTCCAGCACTGGGGGAAAAAAGCTCTTGACTCAGCATTGTGCCGGTCTCACCTAACAAATGTTGAAAACTAGAACTGAAAGAATCAGACTGCTTCCAAGTAACTTAACTATTCATGAAAAAAAGCTCATGAGTCTTTATCAGACTGCAAAATCATACAGCACCCAACAAGGTAAAATTCCCAATTTTACGGCAGTAAAAAATAACCAGACATGCAAAGAAGCAAGAAAAAACAACCCATAATGAGGAGACAAATGATTCAAAAGAAATAAAGGCATACGTCCATACCAAGATTTGTACATAAATGTTTATAGAAGCTTTATTTGTAATAGCCCCCAAATTGGAAACAACCCAAAATTCCATCAACTTTTGAATGCATAAAAAGACTGTGGTATATACATAAAATGAAAATTACTCAGTAATAAAAAGAAGTAATATATGCTACAACATGGATGAATTTCTATCCTGAGTAAATGAAGCTACACAAAAAAGAATACATATTATATGATTTCATTTATAAAGGATTAGAAATGCAAACTAATGTATTGTGACTCAAAGCAAATTAGTAGTTACCTGCAGGAGTAGGATGGGGAAGGGCAGGAAGGAGAGATTACAGAGTATAAGGAAACATTTGAGGTGATGGATATCTTTATTATCTTCATGGTAATGGTTTCACAGGTATATACATATGTCAAAGCTTAACAAATTTTATACTTTAAATATGTATAGTTTATTGTGTATTAATTATACCTCAATAAAGCTGTTAATAAATGATAGAAAACTAAAAATCCATTTACTCAAACATTCATTCCTTCATTCATTCATTTATTTTTTGTAGACAGGGTCTCACTTTGTTGCCCAGGCATGAGGGTAGTGGCTTGATCATAGCTCACTGCAACCTCAAACTCCTGGACTCAAGTGATCCTCCTGCCTCAGCCTCCCCAGTAGCTGGGACCACAGGTGTGTGCCACTATACCTGGCTAATTTTTTTATTTTTTGTAGAGCTGAGGTCTTGCTTGCTACGTTGCCCTGGTCTTGAACTTCTGGTCTTGAACTTCTGGCCTCAAGTGATCCTCCCACCTTGGCCTTCCAAAGTGCTAGGATTACAGGCATGAGTCATCACACCCAGCCATACTTTCCACATTTGAAGTGTTTAATGGCCACACATAGCTAATGGCTACCATACTGAATAGCTCAGATGTTACCACTATCTAAAAAAGTTAATTTAGGTAGCAACAGTTCTAGAAAGTTGAGTTTAAGTTCAGTTAACTTTCCCTAGAAATGGAATTGCTGGATCCACAGAACACATACTTTGAAACTGATACTTACTTCAAAATTTTCTTCAGAATGTTATGCCAATTTACACTTAATCCATTAGTATATAAAAGTCCATATTTCCCACACTTGACAAGAAATTATATGATTTTGGTTTAATTTACACTTATTTGATTACTAATAAAATTAAACATGTTTTTACATGTTTGTCTTTTGTGACCTGTCTGCTTACATTTGGTTTAAAGATTATTAGTATAACTTGAGCACAAATGCTACAAAACAACTTCTATTAACGGATTGTGATTTTACATATTATCTATTCTCATATGAATAAAACATTTTATTAAACTTTTTAAAATTTTACCTCATCCAAACAGTTGACACGAACATTCTTGCTGGATAATAATGTTCCAGCTTCTTGTACAGTACCTTAAAAAAAATGAAAAGTAATTTTATTTATCACTAGAATAGAAAAAAAAAATCAAACATCAAGGAAAGATACTTTAAAGAGTTACCTGTAAAACTAAGACTAGTCAGATTGGGTTACTAAGAAATAGAGCATCTAATCACATACTATTTATTTCACAAAGTAATTGTCCAGAGGAATAGATTTACAGAAACTAAAACAGTTCTATCTTATTTTTACTTTCACTAACCTTAAAGTAAATTAAATTGCCACATTTTCCTTTTGGCAGTAATACAACAACCACAAAACATAAGACCTAATACCGAAACAAATCTAGAGGGCATCTAATTCAAATTACCATGTAAAGGTTCAACTCCAGTCACTATATTACTTGGAATTCAAAATGTAGTCAATATTTATATAATGTGTCAACACTAGGTCTTGTGAATTATGGCGTGTTTATGATAGCATGCTTGGTTTGGAAATGCTTAGGTGAAACATATCTTTAAAGCCTGATACTATATAAAAGTGTTTTATGATCAGTATTTACCATGCTCAAAGTCATCTAATGTAACTTCAAGGTCAGTCCTCTGTACATTTGGAAATAAGCTGTAACTGGGCCACAATTGTCAGTTTTCCCAGTCTTCTGTAAGGCATAATGACACAAGCATACTTGCAGGGGAGAATGTTGCCATTATCATTAATACAAGCCAGCCACACGCTCTGCCAAGAAATTTCTGGTTTAACTGGGCAGAGAACAATTAAGCTGAATGTTCTCAGAAAGGATGAGATAAGCCTCTCCTCTAAATGAACGTGAAAGAATACTTGCATCCCCCAACCAGGTTATTTCTTCTCTGTAAATTTAGAATTATAGCGTCAGAATGCAATAAACCCTGCTAGTCTTCCTGAGTTAAAGGTGGAAGGCAGAATAAAGATAAGCATGCTTCCTTCTCCCTGACCCACTTCTTAGGCAAGTCACCTGAGTGCTCTTCACCAATAGAAGAGAAAGAGAGACTGTCTCCTAGACAGGCAGAGAAATAGCTCTGTTGGGAAAATGTCAAGTGAATGATCTACACATCCCCGGAGTACGACAGCAGCTATTTTTGTCAATAGTGCATTTTTCCGACCCTGTACTCCCTCTGCAGGCAGTAAGCATCACTGGCTAAATGGCCATAAAATAAGAGGGCAAAGCTTTCAAGTGCACAAGCAAGTTCTACGTGAAACCATGTCCATACTTGTGGCTTCACATCAGAGACTTTCTCAAACACCTTGAGAGAGGAATTAAAGAAGGATAAAAACTCCTGCACCCCAGTTTCACCTGAGGAAATGCTTCAGCTCAATCCCATTCTCCACTCAGAAACACCAGAAGTTGTTTTCTATATGGCCAGGAGACGTTTGTGCAGTAAAGGGAAAATACTATAGGGACTGTGAGTATTTCAGAGCCAGGATGGGGAATAAAATCATAAACGTTTGGCTCTCCTTAGAGAACAGGATGATAATTCTCTAAAATGTATGCCCAATGGCCAACATTCAAAGCTAATCTGTCCTGTCAGGGAACAATTTATTTTAAATAAAGATGAGGCATGTGTAATGCAGGAGAAAACAGTGACTATTTTCTCCTACTACACTCTTACTTCAGAGTCTCAGTCCCTATTTCAAAATGCATGTTATAATAAAAGTCTTATTGAGGTTGCATAAGCTGCCCAGTCAGATAGCTAATGACAATCATATCTTTTAAGTTAAATTTTTCTTTGAACTCTGTACTATAATTGATTATCATCAGACTTGAATCTTTCTAAATCATAAATACACTAGCAGGCTGGGCACAGTGGCTCATGCCTGTAATCCTAGCACTTCGGGAGGCTGAGGCTGGAGGATTGCTTGAGGCCAAGAGTTTGAGACCAGCCTGGGCAACACGGCAAGACCTCTGTTTCTTTATTAAAAAAAAAAAAAAAGATACTAGCAGTGACATTATTAACTACACAGGATCTTAGAACAAGATCTTATTTTAATAGTCAAAATTGGAAACAATTTAAATGTCCATCAATGTGAATGGATAAACAAATAATGGTCCATCCAATAGAAATAAAAGAAAATAAGAAACAGACTATTAGTACACACAACACAAATGAACCTCAAAATCATAATGCTGAGGGAAAGAAGACAACTGAAGAAAAGAATACTTACTGTATGATTCCACTTATACAAAATTCGAGAATAGAGAAATCTAATCAATAGAGATAGAAACCTATCTGTGGTTGCCTGGAGATGGGTGTGGAGATTACAAAGAGGCATAAGGAACCTTTTGGGGGTGATGGAGCCATTCATTATCTTAATTGTAGTGATGGTTTCATGGATATATGCTTAAGTTAAAACTGATAAAAAGTATATACTTTAAATATGTGCTATTTATTGTACTTTAGTAGTACCCAATAAAGTTGCTAGAAAAAAATCTTATTGTCCAAATCTATTTCATAGCTCCTTTTGCCCAAATATGAAAAAAGCATTAGAAAGCGTATTATTTTCTTATTAAGTCAGCAACAGTGATCCTAGGAATTTCAAGTACTAACCAAGAGAAGTAATGGGAAGATGTTCTGGCTTATACCTTTAAAAAGGTTTAGGCTGGTCCGAAGGTAGCGAGTTATCTCACTTGATTGTTCACAGTCAAATTGAACTTACAGATTGAACTCCTTGTTCTACTACTTAACTTCCCTCCTCACTACTGCACTTGACTAGTCTTAAAAAAAAAAAGGTTTAATTTTTTTGAAATAGTGCTGTCTTGGTGCTTAATAAAAAAAGGTATCAAAACTTAGAAGAATGGGTCACTCTACGAATAATATAAACCAGTTAAATACAGTTCAGTGATTTCAATTTTCTCTTAAATGTTATGAAATGGATGCTGTCATTAACTATGATTTAAATGGATATGCTGGAAACAGCTTTTCATTTTCATTTGGAACTTCTTGGCAGTCTAACAAATATAAAATCTGTAGAATATCTATCAGGCAAACTCACTCAGAAAACAAAATTGTTCTAAAAGTGTCCAAAAGTAATACATGGCATTCTTCTCTGAACTCTTAAGTTTCACTTACAGTCTGTCTGCTAGTTTCTGTAGGGGAGTGACTGGCAGATAAGGAGGCATTTAAACATTTGCTGAGTTTATTTCAGGCTGGCCAAGACTCCAGGTCAGACTGCTGAAAATTTATTGTTAGTTCAAAGTACTAGAACTGTCTAGTCGAGTGCTTTTCAAAGTTGAGAAATGTATGAGGGAGAAAAAACTTTACCTAGCCGCTTAAAAAAATGCTTCATATGGGTAAAAATACAAAACTTTGCTACTTTGCTTGTGACCTTTATTCAGCTATAAAATAAAAATTTACTTTACAAATTAAATGTACACAAAACTATAAAATCAAAATTAACATTTAAAATTAACATTTAAAATTAAAAATTTTAAAATTAAACATTGTAAATTTAAAATTAACTTGACAGATGATATTTTGCTGAAATTAAATGGCCTCTCAAAGTGAATATGGTATGGACTGGCTGTGGTGCTGGTTTCATTTTTTGTTTAGTTTGTTTGTTGTTTTTAAGTAGAGCCTATTTATTGGACTATAGGCCATAGGATACCTCAGCTCTGCCAATTAGCTGTTTAACACTCTGCACCTTGTCTAACTTCCCAGTTCCTTAGTTTCCCAATCAACAAAGTGTAGATTACCATATTTATCATAACGACAGCTAACACAAGTAGTGTTTTAAATGCTTTAACCATACTAACTTATTTCATCACAACAATGTTGTGAGATGGGTACTATTATTGTTTCCATTTTTCACATAGAGAACTTGAAGCTCAGGAAAAGTAACTTGCCCAAGCCCACATTACCAGTAAATGATTGAGGTAGGTAGAATTCCAAGGTAGACCTGCCAGGGTAACCACCATCCCATGCTGGCTCTTGTACTATTATAGCTTAAAAATAATTCCTAGCTCATCAAGATGAAATGCATTAATACATGTAAATTGCTTAGAATTACAGTAACAGTCAATAAATGTTGGCTATGGTTGCTTTCTCATATCTCCCATAACTTTTCTTTGAGAGTGCAGTGATGTTCCACAGCCCTTCATTTGACAAGAATGCATCACATACGAAGTCCACCTCAGTTCTTTTCTCACTGGCCTGGGCCAGTTGAAGCGATGAAAGATAGCATCTGTGCATTCATGCAACTGGATATAAGATGTGGCCCCAGAAATATCACAGCACTAACCAGAATAAATGCACATTAATTCTATTTTATGTAATCTTCAGAATAAAAACTGGTGGACACCTGACAATACATCCAAGGACGCTCCTATCCCCTTCCGGAGACCCAGTTTATGAAACTCCTTATTGGTTTTCACTTTTAAGAGAACACGTGATAACTCTGGCCTGTTTAAAATCAGAATTTTTGTCCCTGATGGATTGTAAGTCGATCCTTTGTCTCCCTTTTGCCCAACACAGTACCTGGCACACAGCTGGGACTCACATGTTTGCTGAATTAAATCCTGGAGCCACCAAGGGCAGGGAGAAATTACCCAGGAGACCAGCAGAACAGAAAGACTGCGATGCCAAATAGATCAGCAAGAATCATACAGTACAAACAATAAAAACACCAACCTGAAGCCCCACAATTCCGGGCAAAGAACACTTATTGATAAATATAGCTGTGATTGACTTAGGTTGAGCTTAGATGGTGTGGGCTCAACTCATCAGCACCTGTTGAGTTCAAACACGATTTTTTTCTCCTTTACATTTAGACTTTCCTTGTCATTCTGATGAATACATTTGCCTTATTCTCTGGAGTTCCAGATTTGAGTCTGGCTAAACTTAGAAGATTGGAAACTGGGAAGTCTTACGCTGCAATGACTGGCCTCTCTGCCATCCGAGGGCAGACGTGGCTATCTTCTTCTTGAGTTTAAAACAACCACGTTAGTTATGTCCGCAGACGCACGCATCTCCATGCTCGAGCCGCGGAGATGGTGCAGGGAAGCACGCAGTCACGCTGATGTCATCTGCCAGGTAACGGGACTCGCCAGGGAGCTCCTCTGGGACGTCCACTCGGGGACTGCGGGGAAAATATGGCTCCTGGCTCGTCCCTGGGGCTCCCTCCCTGTGACCCGGGCAGCGGAAGTGGGACTCGTGATGGGAGAGAGTGGAAGAGAAAGCGCGGAGAAGCGCGATTAGAAGATCGCTGCGGTGCAACGTGGGCCGAAGGGCGGGTGTGGACGCCTGGCCAATTTCCTCGCCTCTCTGCGGGTTCCTGCGACTACCTGGGCTTCTGGAAGGAACCCAGGGAGGCCCTGGATGCGGAAGTCCCAACGCGGCAAATTACAGACCTAATTCTGTGCCCTTGTAAAGAACACCTCTCACTAAGAGCTGCCTCCTATGCCAAGCCGGGGCGGGGACCGCAAAGGGATCCAGATCACTAGGCCCCCGGAAGTCAAAACGGCCCTTTAGACACCCGCCTAAGACCCTCACGCTACCAGGCCACTGTCGCCGAGACACATCGTGGTCAAAATCCCCTGAGGAGTTTTGAAGAATGCACACTGGGGCCCACACCCTGGGGACGCTGCTTATAATCCGAGGTGGGGCGTGGAAATCTGTACGTTTCCAAAAGCTGTTTTAGCGAACGAGCCTCTGTAACTACCTCTCTTGTCCCAGCAGGGCTTCTCCCTCCCACCTCTCTGTCCCCGCAACCGGTCCCAGACCGAAGGAGAAACGCTTTTTCCCGGTCCAACCTCGCAGAACCGCAGCCAAAGGTCACCCTGGCCAGGGGCGCCCCCCGGACTCCGCCACGCCCCCCGGCCAGGCCGGCGGCGCCCAGGTGGCTCTGCCCAGCGCCCGTACCTTTCCCGATGACTTCCAGCAGCTCCTTCTCCTCCTGGGTCAGCTCGCCTTTCTTTATGTGAACCATTGCTCCCGCCAGCTTGAAGGTTATTCTGTTTCTTTGGAAGTATTAAACAAGAAACGAGGTGTCTGTGTTAGGAGCGTCAGCCGCAACGAGGCAACTGGAGACCGGGACCCGGGGTAGGCAACCGCGGAAGCGCCGCACAGCTCTCCCCTCCCGCGGGCCGGCGGGCAGCGGCGAGCTCCGGCGAGCTGTGCGGGCGGTCGCTGCAGGCCCAGCTGCGGTCACCGCCCCCCGCCTGGCATTGGCCGGCCGGGAGGAGGAGCTGCGCGAGGCGGCAGCGGGAGACTCCAATTGGAGCAGCCTCGGAGGGAACAACCAAATGGAGAAAACCAGAGGGGAAATTCAATTCCTCTTACATGTTCCCCGCCCCTGTCTTGCCCGGTTTAGATATTCGGAGACACGCAATATTTAAACATTTCTAGCTGGCAGTTCTGTGATTGGTAATGGCCTCTAGGGGAGAGCAGAGGCCCCCGGATATCGCTAGGCTCCAACTTTGTCCCCTCCAGTGGCTTGGTCCGGGCGGGGGGCGGGCTGGGCGGCGGGGGCGGGGCAGGAGGCGGGGCTGCGCTGGGTTCCGTGTGTCTATGTCAATGTGTCTGTCCTTCACTCCTCCATTGTCTGCTGCCGCTGCCGCCGCCGCTGCTGCTGCCGCTGCACGAATCGCCGCAGCCCCCAGCCTTGCGCGTCGTCGCTACCTCCTCTGACAGGTGAGGAGCAGCCCAGGTGGGGGGGGGGGTGCCGGGAATGTTGCGGGAGCCGCGACCGCCGCCCCGCCGGGGGCTTCCACCCGGGGCAGAGCTGGCGGGGAGGAAGCATGTGCCTCCTGGGGTGGCTTCCTGCCTCTGGTCGGAGAAGCCCCCGATCTATCTCTTTCTCGCCACACATATGGTGCATCCGTGCCCCGAGACGAAGACCTGCGGCTCACCACGTTTGGCCGCCCCGGGAGACTCGGGGACTGCGTGCGGGCGGGGGCCAGCCACGCGGTGGGAAGTGGCGGGTGCACATGGTCTCGTGCGTGGCACCTCCAGATGCGGCTCCCAGGGAGGCCGGGGCCGGGGCTCTGGGATAAGGGTGGGAACGAGAGCTTCTCTTTACGAGCGAGGTGAGCGCACAGGGAGAATAGAGTGGGGAGAAGGTAGTTTTCTTTTGGCAAGCCTCGCCCTCCCCACTACTTGTCATCTCTTCTTTGGTCTCCGTGTGAGCTGTAGAAGAAAACCGGACCTAATCGCCCTATGGTGCCTGTTGAGGATATTTGGAAACAATTTACACTTGCACTAATACTTCGTTTGTGAGAGACAGCCTGGGGAAGGGGGAAGGAAGGGCCTCTTTGCTCTGTTAGAGTTCTCAGTCTCTTTGTAACTCAGATCTTGAGATTTATGGAAGTAGGGAGTGGAGGGTAAAGAGGGTAGAGAAGGCAGAGATTAAATTGGTGTTGCCATCTATATATAGCCTTAGATTAGCCTCTTAATCCAACCTTCATTCAACTGTAATATGTAGCCTGGAGCTACGCCCATAGGTGGTCGGGGGTAGATAGAAGTACGCACCCTACTGCGGCTCAGAAACAGGACTTGCTAAAATATGAAGTCAGTCATTTCTCCAGGGTGTACATCTATAACATTTACAGCATCCATGAAAGTTTCTTTAGATACTGTTGTTTACGGTTTACTGTTGTTTCTCTACAGACTATTGATTGTTTCTCTCCAGATCCGTCTGTGTCAAAGAGAAAGATTTGAGTAATTGTGTAGATGGTTTTTGTTAAGCATCCCCTGGACCACTCTTTTCTTCCTACAGTGCCGTATATAAAATGAAATGCATTTTCCTCTGGCCATATGCCTTCATTTTGCTGGAAGCATTCACTAACACTTCTGAAATCCCACGGAATATGTTTATCATTGTTTCCTGCCTTTAGCAAAAATCTCTTCGAAACTCCAGCTGTCCTCCTCCCCCCCAAGGCTTCCACTTTAGAGGCTGGGACAGATATGAGCCAGAACATCTTACATGAAAATAGTTTGAAATTATTTATCTCAATGTATAACAAAGAAACTTTTGTTTGATGCTTTAATAATGATGTGGCTGTTCAAACAAGTAGTAAGGCTTTTGAGAGTGACCAGTCTTTTGTAATGCTGTTACTGTCACAGTTAGAATTGATTTATAACATAGTATCAGGCCGAAAGGACCCATAAACCTAAGAAAATGCTTGAGGAGTAACCTCCAGGAACATGTGATTTAGCATCTTACCAGCAGATGCATAGACAGAATTGAGTGCTTCATTGCTAGTATTTCCATCTCCTGTGCCAAATCTGGGCCATGGTTACTTGAAGGTCACACCTGTTTGTCTCACTTCGGTTGTAAGTTCCTCGAGGATAGCAACTTCGTATGTGTATATATATATATATTTTGGCTGCTTTATGACACCTGGTTGGTATTTAGTCCTCTGTGAATATGTGACGTCAGCAAATTTAGAGATAATGACATTTAAAGACAAAGAAAAACCAGAATCTACCTAGAAATACAGATAAATCAAATATTCAGTTTGAATTCCTAGAAACAGATATGTAATGGATAGTGTTCATTGGATGGATTACATGAATAGTTTTGTGCAGTGTAAATAGTAAATGTAGGAATAAGATTAGCTAATGAGCATATTAAAATATGTTCATATCAAGGAAGTTTTATTGATAATAAAATAGCTACTACATAGTGAGTATTTAGTCTGTGCCAGATATTCTACCTATTTACATAGAATTATTTGCCAATATTATCCCCATTTCTGCAAAGAGGACAGAAACTAAGGGAAGTAATTAATTTGCCCACAACCCCTCAGTTAGGAAGTGGCAGAACCTAGGTTGAGCTGTCTCTAATACCTTTTCTCTTTTACCTATTCTCTGCCTATATACCTGGCAGTAAGGGGGAAATTATATATTTTGACTAGCTAATGGGTAATATATCCATGTTCAGCATGCCAAAGATACAAAGTCTCCCTCCCACCTCTTTCCCCAGTCCTTTCTCCATGCCCCACAACTGATGGTATTTATTTTTTTATATCCTTCCTAAGATATTTTGTTTATATCTTATATCTCTATTTCCACTACTTTTTATAGAAATGGGAGCATACTAAAACACTGTCCTGTAGTAGAATTTGTGTGATGCTCTTTTCTGTTTCTTTCTTCACCTTTTTAAAAATAATGATTTCTGAAATGCCTGAAATATGTGTCCTCTCATCTCTTTTTCTATTGCTCCCACCCTAGATCTATTGCAGTGAGTTCCTGAGTAGCCTGCTTCTCACTCACCTCTCTCCACCCAGCTAATTCAAAGAACTCCCAGTTGAATAAACATTGAGCACCCATCATCCTGTGAATGGTTCTGCACCGGCCACAGCAGAGGTCTAGGTCTGGCCTGGAAGGCTCCAGTCCATCTTGTGGTCCCAGCAGGCATTTCCAGGCAGCCAACTCCTCCCATTCACTGGGCTCTAAGGTCACCATTCTGCTGCTTCCCTAATCTGTCAGTCATTTCCACCGTTTTGTTCCTGCTCTCCTCTTCCTGGAATGACCTTCCTTCCCTCTTCACTGAGTCTCCTCCCCAGATCTGATTAACTGTTCAACTTTCCAGACACTTTAAATAAAACCTCTTATCTTCAGTTTTCATGTTCACGCCTCCCACCCTATCTAGTGAGGGGAGTAGAGACACTAGTAAACACATTCATTCATGACTTTCAGCAAAGGAGATAAGTAAAATCTTTGCACAGGATGGTATTGATATGCAACATGGTTGTGGGTGCCATTATTGGCACCCTCTAATTCTCTCTTATCTTATGGGTCTTAGCCATCCCTCTCGTCCTTCCCTCCAAATTGACATCATTGCTTCTTCATGTGTATCTCTGTGAAAATACCTAAAGCAACACCTTTTTCATCACATTCTATTATAATTATTATAATTATTATTAATTATTAATAATCTGGCCCTTCTCTTTCTAGACTATTAATTCACTAAGTCAAATTTGCCTTGGTTTCTCAAGACTCAACCCCGTGTCTTGCACCTAGTGTATGCTTAGTACATGCTGAGTTGAATTCAGTTTGATCTCTAAGTTATTTTAGGTGGATTTGTTTTCCTACTTGACTAATCCTTCCTGGCAATGTGAGGTGATGGCACTAAGCACACACAACCATAAACAGAGGCAGAAAGTCTTTAAATGTTTGGCACCTCAAGCTTCTTGACATTCTGTTGAATGCTATCAGCTAAGAAAAAAATAGTTCATATGCCCATGGTACAAATTTTATTTCTCCATGAAAGCCCCAGATCTCCAGCTCTCTGCATAGAAACAATGCTGTTTCCTTTTTATTGCAGGGGAATAGTTCACTTTTGGGTATTATATCTTTCAGGGTACTATTTTCCTTGACATTTGACTTTCTTTTCTTAGACTTGGGTATATTCCTTGACTGACTGGATATTTGATGATATTAAGGAAGTTTCATTTTTTGAGGTTTGAAATGATATTATGGGTATATTTTTATAAGATCCCTTATCTTTTAGAGATACATACTGAATTATTTAAGGAGGGAATGATATGACATCTGAGATTTGCTTTAATATAATTCTGTGACAGGGGAACAGGGACTGAGAATATAAATGAGATGAAATTGACTATTGTTAATGGTTGGAGCTGGGTGATGAGTACATTGGCTTGATTATACTGTTCTGTCTACTTTTGGATATATTTGAAATTTTCCATAATGAAATATTTAAAAGGAAAGTTTAGAAGTATTGCAGCCTCTAAGAAATTGTTGTTGTTGTTGTTGTTTTTAACACAACATAAGAAAGTAGTGAATACAAATGTTCTTTCCTCTATACTTGGAATTTAGCTTATGCAATTATTCATTTAAGTGTTAAAATAGTCACACCTAAATCTGCAAAGGACTGTCTTGTGAACAATGCATTTCCATAAACACTGCACATCAGATTTTAACTTCTCCACAAAACTAAAAGGTAGGTGGCATTACTCAGTGCTTGTGGCACAGACTTATGAATATCTTACTGGCAGTTAATCATCTTTTTTGGAAACTGACAAAGTAATTTGCAGACAAATCTGAAGAAGGGGTACTAATATGTTTAGTTTAACTGAGAAAATTAAGATGTGAATGAAGTGGAGATATTGATTTTCTTCTACGCTTGGTAAACCAACTCAGAATGTATTCCCAAAAAAGGAGTACCAAAAGTGTCGTGAGCCCTAGCAACATTGTGACACTAAGTCTATTGATATAGGAAAATCAGGGTGGGACTCAGCACAGGGTGTACCTGCCAGGTTCTTAATCAGGGTTAGCTTAACTGAATCCTTATTTTGATACCTACTTTCCGATTAGTCCAATTTTATAATTTATGTTTCTTGATTTCTAAATTTCTTTTATTAGGTTTTAGATATATTAAATATCAGTTGTAACGTGTCATCCTAGATTTGTTTGAGGGGCTTTTAAAGAATATTTAATTAATATGAAGTCTACCAATATTAGCAGGTCATACAGAAGAATACTTTTCAGTCCTAGTTCACTCTGATGTCTGTGTTTTGAGGGCATGGATCTCTTTAGCAAGTATCTTTTGGGCAGTTAAGTGCCAAGTGGAATGATTTGGCCTGTTCTAAATTTGGCATATGTTGAGTGAAGAGTGCCAAAAATGTTTAAATCGTCATATTTGTAAACTATCTGCTTTGAAAGTA